GATGAAGAGCAGTTAATGGGTGACTTATTTTATCATGCAGTCATTATCTTGATTTTTTGTTTTTGCTGAGTCCTGGCAACTAAACTTCAATTTTTTTTTTTTGGCGAAAGAAGCTGTAATGAATCCCTGTGCATCATTTTTTTGTTGGTTGGAAGTTGTTCGTTGTTGCGCCTGTTATTGGAAATGCGAGAGTTCGCGTATTTTGAACGCTTCCTGCTGTGAGTTATTGTTCGTTCTAAAGGATGATGCGAAGTTTGAAAGATCGTCCGAGTTTTGCATCATACCCTGTGTTTGCGTTTCGTGGAGGTCTGAATATAGAGAGAAACCCTGTGCAATTTATTGGAGTAAGTCTTAATTATAAACGGTTTTATGTCTATGAATGCCTGAGCAGAAATTCCACGGAAACTGCTAAACTCTTTTCGTGAATATTATTTTTCTCGCTGAGTTCAGTACAACAAATCATATTTTTTGGTATGTTTTCAGTTTTCATTAGATGAATTGGAATTTATTGATTTTGTCTCGAGTTCTTGAATGTAAATGTGAATGAAATGTCCGTAAAATTATCGAAAGATAAATGCTTTTAGAATTTCGGTCTTTTTCAATAAGGCTTTTGATTTGAATGAGGAATGAAAGCATTTTTTTAAGTCGAAAGAAATGGATCATCTGAAGATGTTGGATGCTTATTAAGCATCCAAATTTACACTAAAAGAAGTGTAGACACATGCACATTTTCCCGCTTATAATTTTTCAAGTGTTAAGTAAGGATCGTAAATCTTTTGCTTTCATCAACGCGGATGAGGCAATGTAATTGTGAGTCATTGTGATAATAACTGCTGTATCAACACGCTTTTTAGTAACCCTAAATTTATGAAAAAGTATTCTAGAGATAATTACTATAGTGCATACACTTCTGTTGATCCATTTCTGCTAATCCTATCTTATATTGTAGTAGAATGAAGCATAAACATAAATATTTTCCCTATGGACTTATCATGCTCCCACTAAAGCACCTGCAGCCTTTTCCAGGCCCACTGGGTGAATTCAGGGGGGTGTATGAAAGTTTCATAAATCTGCCAGTGGAAAAATCTCATAGCATGTAATTCATGGATTCCCCAATAGTTCAGCAAGCCAGACATGAAGCGTGCATTCTTATACAATGGGTACATTCTGTTTGATGGTTGAACATCAACATTTTACCCTTTTTTTAATTGAACACCATGTTGGAAGTATTTGACTAATGAATGGTTCCTGTGGCATCCTTGCTTCATTCCACACCATGTACAAATAGCAAGGGACTCTCTCTACCACAATATATTGTTCATAGGTGGACTCTACAATGATCTTCTCTATAATGTGATTTTTTTGTCTCTATAGAGAACCCTGTGAGGTTCTCTCATGGAACTGATGTTAACACCTTGCTGGAAGCAGTGCTTGAATATTTCTGAATGGAATTTTTTCAATGAAAATATTACTGTCCAATTTAGCCTAAGTTGGGCTATATAATTATCCATATATATTTTCCATCTGTGAGAACAACTTTGAGTGGTTTTTCACAACAAAAAGCTCTTCACAACTAAGCAATTTTGGTCCCTAGAATATTTTGCCAGACAAGAGTCAATTATCTGAAAATAATTTTTTGTTCCCTTAGGGTAACTCCCTCCATGGTTCAGTGGTTCCATGCAGCAAAAGTATTTTTAAAACAAACTTTTCTGGTCTCTTGAATCTCATTGTCTCTTTATGGACTGTCGCCCTGCATGAAGTTCTTTCTCAGAAAAGGATTTCTGCACACATAACCAGGAACACTCAAGCCAACCAAACACACCCAACCATAGAACCTAAGCCAAGACAAAGATGACACCCAAAAAGACAAACACACCTGTGCGCAAGCATGGGCCAAAAGTCTCTTGTATTAATCATCACTCACCTCTAAGAAAAGTCCGAAGTCTGTTTTGTTTGGTGGACAGTGACGCACGAATGTATTTGCACTTGTCATTCGTGTCTATGCGCAGTGGCTGCAAATAAAAATCGTGCTCTAGAGCCACCAAAGAAAATTTGCCAGACCTGGATAGACTCTCGCTCGCGACACCATTTATTTTTCTTTGTACACATATATATATAAATATATATATACTCTGTCCTCGTCAGTGTCGGGGCGGGTTGTGCCACTCCAGTCGTCATGCATGTGAAATCTCTGCCCTTTTTCGCGAGCCGAATCTTTCCTTGTGTCGATTTTGTTTTTCCCTCCTCCCGCGTTCTTGATGTGGCATATATATAGAGAAGAAAGGATATAGAAGGAAAGAGAAGGGAGTTATTTTATCAGGTTTTTTTTTTTTCTTTCTAGACTTTAGTTTCTCCTGTGTGCTGTTGGTTTTTGTTGATGATGGCAGTGCGTTGAAGGAATGCAGGTGTTTGGAGCAGCAGAAAGTTGGTAGTAGTTGAATGCGAGCGGGATCCGGACCAAAGCTTCCTCTTGTGCTGCGGGAATGATTTTCTCTTTGCTTTCCCACCCCTCCATCAGCACCATTTATTTTCACACGAGTCCCATGCAGTGTTTGGATGTGGCATTTATGTCCTGCCTGCATGTGCTGATGGGGGATATGCTCCATCTCAGCCAGTATATGCAGGACAAGGTTTTATTTTTCAGCATGAAGTTTTTTTTGTTTTGGATTTGATATTTGTGTGGTGACAAGTGAGAAAAGTGACAGAGATATTTGAGAAGAAGTGATGCCATATTGTGGTTGAAATTGGGGGTTTTATACAGGTGGACTACTCTCTCTACAATGACCTTGTCTACAACAATATTCTCTGTACATTTGGGTCTTGGTTTAAAAAGGCTTTGTGTTCTTGAGCAAAGTTTGTTAGCCAAATCAGATTCTCCCTCAGGAAAGTGAAGGAATAATTTTGATTGGTTCCAGAACCTTGAAAGTGCCCATGAAAATTGAGAAAATCCATCTTAAAAATGCTCACTGGTCATAAAATCCAAGGCATTTTCCCAAGAAAATGTGGAAGGAACAGCAATTCTGATTCACTTTTGACCTGTGTCTTTAAAAAGGAAAACATATACTGTATAAGGAAATCTGTTCTGTGCTATACAGTATTTAGTTGCAAAATCATTCAAAAACCTATCTGAAATGAGAGCACTGTAATAAAACAAAAGTAATTTCAGAGAATTATCAAGGAAGAACTCAGCAAAAATAAAACACAAAGTTCAAATACAATATAAAAAAATTATACAAAAATTATTATTACTTTGTGATCTAAAGCCTCAATAATTGCAAGTAAAAGGTGAATCTTTCACTAGGAGAAATCAGCTGCTGATCCCAGCAACAGGGAACAGGGGGCAGACATTTTTTGGGTGTGCACATTTGAATGCACCAAAGTTTGTGAGCTGAGTTGAGGTTTGTCATCCAGATTAGGTGAGGCCCTAATCAAAAGTTTGCTGGCCAGGGTCTTCCTTAGCTGAGACCCTACCCTGTGGAACAAATATTTTTTGTTTGTGTAGGGTTCTCTTTCCATGTTATGTGGGTATATGCAATACATTTCTCTCCCCAACAATTTTTTGTGGTGCCTTGAATTTTGTTATTGTAAGCAAAGAGCAAGTTCACCTGTACAGTATACAGGTGGTACCTCCCAATTCAACCCTGATCCATTATTACTAGACTATGGTCAAATTGCAAACTGGTTGAATTGCAAGACAACATCAAGTGGCATGTTAACTGCAAGGCAATTTGTATTTCATGTCTCTCTGCAGGTCAGATTGTGTGGCATAGGTTGAAATGAGAGAAAATCTTTCAGTAAATTTGACCATAAAATTGCGGGATGGTCGAATTGCAAGGTACCACCTGTATGATGAACTTGCACAAGTTTGTTTTTGTTGTTGTGTGTATGAAATTTGTGTTCAAGAAAATGCATTGGAACCCCAAGATGTGGACATAATTAGTGCTTTGACCTTGTCCCTATGTCAGATCATCTACAATTCCATATGTTTGGATCTTGCTCTCCCATATACTTCAATGCAAATGCCAAACATGTAATTGGTTTTCCTGTTTATCAAACATTAGGAATAAGTCCCCAAAATGGAATAAAAATTGTTTGCCTCAACTTCAAGATACAGACAACAGCTGTGCAGAATACAATTTCATAGAATCTGATCTGTAGAGTATATTTTCAATAAAAGTCTTCTTGCTTTTATTTTTGTGGTAGTAGCTGAATTTGCTCAGGACTACTGAAATAAATACACTCCTGAAATGAATAATCTGTTATGTACTAAAGTACAGCACTCACCTTTACTCTTACTCCATTGAATAATATATGTACTGTAACTGGTTTTCTGAACCTAAAATGTGCATAAAAAAGTAGCACAACTGTGCAATAAATGCACTCCATTTTCACCCTGCTTCATTTGAAAATGTTCAATATTTTGAAAATAACACATCAGAATTAAAAGTTTGTCTGGAGTGAAACAAACTAAAGTGTGCTTTCCCTTTTTTTATCAATACTATTTGCAACTGGCCAACAATTTACCTGCAGAATCAAGCATAAAATACTGTGCACCTAAACTTTCAAAATGTTGTACCTCTCCTCATGATGTGCATCCTCTTTTTTCCCCTCAATTCAAGAAAGGTGTGTATGGTACTCCAGCAGTGAATAAATTACTATATTTGCATTTTTTTTTGTCTAGAATTTGCAGCTAAATGATCATATATTGAAACATTTCTCTTCTTTTTAAAAGTTTAAATTGTATGTGAGTCAAATCATCTGCATGTTGTGGGAGCACTGTAGTTTTTGCTTTAAAATTTTTTAATCCATTTTGTTTGCTTCATCAGAAGCCTGAAGGTTTCAGGATCTCAGCGCCATCTGGTGCACCAGTGGTGTACGTGCACGAAGTCCAATCTGTTGCTGTAGTGCTGATTTTTTTTTTTTGGTGGTGGTGGTACCACTATTGTTTTTTTTCCTTGTGTGTGTTTCTTTTTAATTCCTTTGTTGGACTTGGTCGGGAGATGTCAGGGGTAAGAGAAGAGGATGAGGAGGAAAAGCACGATAAGCAGCAGCCAGAGGCCAGCGCTGATCATGATCATCAGCAGCAGCAAGAGACGCCATCTAGCGGCAGGAAAGAAGTCGCCAAACTGTCATGGCGCATCAAAGTGTGCTACGGACTGGGCCACGTGTGGAACGACTTGTGTGCCTCGCTTTGGTTCACGTATTTGCTCTTGTTCCTCAAGTTCGCCCTGGGCTTCGACGACAACTCGGCCGGTGTGTTGATGTTGGTGGGCCAGGTGGCTGATGCCGTGGCCACGCCGCTGGCTGGCCTGCAGCTGGACAAGAAGTACTCGGCCGAGGCCCTGGCTCGCTGCTGCAACTACGGCCATCGCAAGACCTGGCATCTCATCGGTAGGTGGGCCAGGTGGCCGATGCCGTGGCCACGCCGCTGGCTGGCCTGCAGCTGGACAAGAAGTACTCGGCCGAGGCCCTGGCTCGCTGCTGCAACTACGGCCATCGCAAGACCTGGCATCTCATCGGTATGACAGCAAAATTATCATTTGATGCCAGAAAAAAATAATGTTTTTGAAAAACGTTGTATTATACAGAGAGTACTGTATTAAAAAAATTTCTCCAGAGAAAAGGGTGCTTTTACACAACGAATGTATTTTGCAAACACAAAATATGTGGGGAGAAGAAGTGCTTGAATTCCATAAATGTATCCCTCAATTAATCCTTTAATTAATTTTTAAATAAAATTTTCTTGACAAACTGTTTGCAAATATACCCAAGTGGGGAGCTATTCTTTGTGTGACCCCACCACCGGTGCACACTGGGGTCAAAACTGGTGTACATGCGGTATTCTAAGGTTACAAACATGCACCTCTGTAGATGAATGCACCAACTGTAACCTTGGTGTGACCTATTTGTTACAAATGTGATCCTGAGTAATCCTGGTGTGAACACACAACTGGTGCACATTAGGGATATGCATGTGCAGAAGAAGAACTTCAGTACACTTCAGTTGCACAGCAGGGTCACTGTATGGAAATACATGCATATTCCAAGTGTGCACCATTTTCCCCACTTGGGATACATATGCATTATTTATCTTCTTTTATGCCTTATCAGATTATTGGAATTATATTCTCAGAATGCTTCAGTATTCTTCAAACTTGAATTTGTAAATAATCATAAAAAGTCTGTTAGCAGTTTAAAAATATAGCGCAAAACTTGGCATTGAGAGTTAATTCAGAGTGTATGAATTTGTTTTTGATACAAGAAACACAAGAGGCTTTCATTTGATGAATCATTGATATTTCATTTTTTTATTAATTGGCAATAGATAATTTAAATGAAAAGGACCATTTAAAGCACTCCATTTTTGTACACAAATAGAGTTCCCATGAAATTGTTGTCACAAAACAAGGAAATATGAAGCTATCCTCCTCCCATAACATTTTGCAAATGAATTTTTTTCTATTTATTTGGTTTGATTTCAGGTCAGTATCTCTGTCATAATATTCTACTCTCTACCCTCAAAAGTCTATCATATTAAATTCATTTCAAAATGAAATATGGTCTTGAGCATGTGCAGCTCCTAATAATTATAATTCAAATCATAATTACCAATGCCAATATGTTAATCTGGAGAAATTTGCAGCTATATTTTGAGTTGCTGTCCAAAGGTTGGCCCCAGCTCACCCAAAATGTTCTTGCTATGTTTTCTCCCCACAGAGGGTTTCAATCATGAATTTTTAATTGCTGTTTATTCAAGTTTTTCAAATTCAGTTTTCTCCATTTCTTCAAATATTGTACCTGATACAAAATACTGACTTCTGCTTTCTTGTTGTGCACATGTTCACAACATCTGTTACAATGTGCTCCATGTAACAAGCATAGGAGGGGGTTCCAAGTTGCATCTGGGCAACATGTGCAAAGTTTTACATCATGCATTTTTAATTCATTTGGGATTATTTTAGAGCATGTAATGGGTTCAAGGTCCCCTGGTAATCTTGTAACTCTGCATGATATGGACCCTGTTTGCACATGATTGAATTTCAGCCATCACATCACAGAGAAATGGATGCACATACAATACAGTACAATAAAACTTTAATTCTAAAATTCAGAGATGGCAGTAGAATACAGTACCTAGCTTGTAATGATTTAAATCCATGCAAGAATTTCAGCCATCACATCACAGAGAAATGGATGCACATACAATACAGTACAATAAAACTTTAATTCTAAAATTCAGAGATGGCAGTAGAATACAGTACCTAGGAACATTACTAAATTTAGGTACGTTGTTGGGGACAACTGTAAAAACCACTAAGTTAAACACCTACTTCGTTAATCGTACACACTTTGTGGTTAAAACTTTAAAGAGGTTCTTCTCGTCGTGAAATATAAATGGATGGGAAAATTATGAATTCAATCTTGAACTAATATTCCTTTTAGTATCAATGGTGTAAAAGTTTAATTTAGTTTTAATTTTTCTTGGATTCAAGCTTTGGGAATTCCAGTTTGAAAATGAGTTTGAAAGTTTGTGGACCACGCTGTCCAATTTTTCTTGGATTCAAGCTTTTGGATTTCCAGTTTGAAAATGAGTCTGAAAGTTGGTAAACCACTCTGTCCAAGTCTTCTTGGACTCCAGCTTTTGGAATATCTGGCAATCTCTTGTATTAAAATAAGTCTGACATTTTGTCTACCACTCTGTGAAAATGGTGTTCTCAGTTATTTTTGTGTTTTTTTTTCAAGGCACTGCAGCAGTGCTGGTGAGCTTCCCATTCATCTTTGATGAGTGCCTGCTCCTGCCTCCTGATCTACTCAGCAGCAGCAACAACAGTAGCATCAGCATCAACAGCAGTATGATCAACAGCAGCTACTTCAATGACAGCATCAACTACATGACAACAACAACAATAGCAGCAACAACAACAACAACAACTTTGGCACCCATGACAACCACTAGGACAACAGGCGTGTCTGCAGGCAAAATGGCCTACTATGCCACCTTTATTGTGATTTTCCAGTTTGGCTGGGCCCTGGTCCAGATTGCCCACCTGTCCCTCATCCCGTGTCTCACGCACTGTCAGCACCAGCGCACAGAGCTCAATGCGATTCGCTATGGTTTCACTGTGCTGGCCAACATGGCCGTCTACATCATTGCTTGGATAGTGCTGGGCCTGGCTGACCGTGACGGCGGCGAGGGCAACACTCGCATCTCCAAGCAAGACACTACTAGTTTCCGAGTGAGTGAACAAAAAAAACAAGAGAAGTATACTTTGGCAGCAATTACAGTGAGACCCCCACATGCGGACGCCTTGACCTGCGGACAATTCGACATAGGGACACTTATTTTCCCAGAAAAAATTAATAAAAATGGCCTGAAATGAGGACACTGACTCAACATAGGGACATTTTGTGATAAAATTGCACATACATTTCTGGCCTAATTACAAGAAACAGAAATTGATGTAAGAAAAGTTCTTGGGCATTTCTCTCACCAAATTACCATACATTTAGCTAATTAAAAAAATTACCCGCAGCATAGAAGGACTTCTACTTTTTTAACTTGAATGTTGTCTTCCACAAAACACCAATTAAAACTTATATAATGTAAGTCTATGGGAAAACAAGACTCAACTTAGGGACACTCTTGATGCACCAATTACGTCTGCATCTTGGGGTCTCACTGTATCAGTGTATAGTACTGTACTCAATTTAGTAGAGCAGTGTTTCCCAACCTTTTTGGGCCTGCAGACTGGCAAATTTCCAAAAATATTTTGCAGACTGACCAATTTCCACAACATTTTTCATGGACTGGCAAATTTCTACAAAATGTTGGCAGATGACTGGAAAATGTCATAAAATTTTTACACTCAAAAGCTCTTTTTGCAGAAAGACTTCTTGGCAGGTTTTTTTGAATAAGTTTCTGCTTTTTTTGCAAAAATTAATTTAAGAACCAATGAAGCACCTACAGTGGAATGTCTTTGAAAAATTAGAAAAATGTACTTATTGAAGAAAGTTTTCTCCACAATGAAAAATTGGAATAAATTCATTTCTGGACAATGAAAATTTTAAAAGTGTAATTATTTGAAGAAAAGCTAAATTTTATTTTTCATCAGATAGTATAAACTGCCATTGTCTTTCAAAAATTTCAGAAAAGGACAGCAGACTTAATTGCTAATTCTGATGATAATATTATTATGCTGAAGAAAATTCCCTGTGGACTGGAAAAAAAAACATCTGATCTTAAATATGTCAGATAAAAATATATATCATGAGAATAATTACAGATAGAGTAATTGCATTCAGATCAGGTTTCTGTCTAAATTCAATTTTCTATAAGTTGTTGATTATTATTGGTTGATTGGACAGGGGCCCCAAAATAGACATTTTTTTGCCAATGGGGTCTTCTTTCCATGAGATTTCTGTTCAGAATTTTTCATGATATTGGCTTACCATCCGCCAATGTTTTTTGCCAAACAAACAGGATCTTGGCACTGTTTTTTACCCTGATAAAATTGCCAATTTTTGGCTCCTCTCTTCAAAGCTTTATATTTCTGGTAACATTTTTTAAAATTATTTGTTTTCTCAATTTAAAGATGCAAAGAAATGAGAGATTTATGTCCCCACAAAAAAGAATGAAGAGTCATCTTCACCAAAAGCAGGATGGGGAAGGATAGAGGTTGAAACATTTTTTTAAAATATCTAATACATCCCAAGTGGGGAAAATGGTGCACACTTGGAATATGCATGTATTTCCATACAGTGACCCTGCTGTGCACCTGAAGTCTACCAAAGTTCTTCTTCTGCGCATGCATACCCCTAATGTGCACAAATTGTGTGTTCACACCAGGATTACTCAGGGTCACATTTGTAACAAATAAGTTACACCAAGGTTACAGTTGGTTCATTTGTGTGATACTCTTGTTATGTCACATTTCTACACCAAGTGTAGCCTTGGAATGGTAGCAAAATTTCCTCTACAGGAGTGCATATACTTGTAACTCCAGAATATCCCATATGCACCAGTTGTGACCCTGGTGTGCAGCTACTGTGGGGTCACAGCAAAAATATCTCCCCACTTGGGGCACTTATTCATTAAAGACTGTGCCAACCCCTCCCTTGTTAAACCGCCAACCCCATTAAACTGCCAAAATTCTGCTGCACAAATGTTGGCAGTTTAACGGGGTTTGACTGTATAAATATTTATATACACACAGAACATCTCCCTCATCTCTTCTGGAATCGGCGCGCTTTTCACACTCTTGTTCCACATTGGCGTCCGAGAAGAACCCCTGGCCACACGCAGCAGCCTGGCATCAGCAGCCGCCCTCAAAGAAGCCTCATCCTCAACAACAACCATATCATCAACATCAGCCGAAAGATCACCATCAGGCACCAATAATAAACCCACGAACCCACCAGCACCACCAGCAGGGCCACCAGCTGTTCGCAGGGTCAAGTTCTACGAGTGGTTCTGCACCCGGGAATTCTACGANACACACAGAACATCTCCCTCATCTCTTCTGGAATCGGCGCGCTTTTCACACTCTTGTTCCACATTGGCGTCCGAGAAGAACCCCTGGCCACACGCAGCAGCCTGGCATCAGCAGCCGCCCTCAAAGAAGCCTCATCCTCAACAACAACCATATCATCAACATCAGCCGAAAGATCACCATCAGGCACCGCCATCAACACCAATAATAAACCCACGAACCCACCAGCACCACCAGCAGGGCCACCAGCTGTTCGCAGGGTCAAGTTCTACGAGTGGTTCTGCACCCGGGAATTCTACGAAGTCGGTTGGGTGTATCAAACAACTCGCTTGCTTTTCAACGTGTCCCAGGTGTACATGACGCTGTATTTGCAAGAGACGCTTTCGTTGGGGCCTCAGAGCGTAGCTATTATCCCACTGGTGATGTTTTGCAGTGGCCTGGCGGCCACGCTGTTTCTCAAGTGGCTGAATCAGCGGTTGGGCAGGAAGCCGGCGTTTACGATCGGGTTCTCCTTGGGCATGGCGGCCGCCATTTGGATTTGGACCGGTGGCACTGCGCGGACGCAGTACAAAGAGGCGAGTCAAAGTGATGCTGTGCATATAAGACCTTTACTGTGTATGGAACCTTTCATACATTTGCACCACAATTTATACAAAAGTTACAACAGTGAATGGAAATGTATTAGAAATTAGATGACTTATAAAAATTTTAATTGACTGCTGATGATGAACAAGAGGTGTTATATACAAGTACACAGTGTCCCTAAATAATGCATTGAAAACCTTTCTAATTCAAAACATGTTTCTTTATAACCTCAGTAACTTTAATTTTTTCAAAGCTTTTTGGCCATTTTTGTGTGAACACAGTGAAGAGAAAAAAGTTAATAAAAATTCAACAATGTATTTTGAAAGATGATGAAGGACTATAAGTTGTCAAATAAACCCTTGCCTCCAAGTTCAGCATCCTTTCAACTCATTTAACAAGTAATTCAAGGTCTACAGTATCACTATAATAGCAGTAATTTACCATAATTCGTATTCATCTGTTCCTTTATTTACAAGAAAAAATTGTTTCCTGTCAAACTCAATTTATTTTAATCCCTTGAAATTTGAATTGTACAGGTTTGACTGTAGTAAGGTTTAGTTGCATCAAATGTTGTTATAAAATGATATTTTTTGTGCCACTGTCCAAAGGCCACAATGAAATTTTTATTTATTTTTTGCACATATTTATTCATACTGAAGCATCTAAGGTTGCAAATGCTTAATTTTGATGATCTTTCTACTGTATTGAGGCAGATCACTGTTTTTCAAGCAGTTCCACAAAATTTCAACACCTCTATATATATATATAATGTGTGTATGTATATAATGTATGTGATGTGTGTGGATGATGTGGACATCACATGCAGGTGGAAATATACTTTGTGGCCATCCTGTTGGGGGCATCTGGCAGTGTGCTGCTTGTCACTTCCCTGGCCATGACTGCGGACTTGATTGGGCCCAATTCAGCCAATGGGGGCTTCATTTATGGTGCCATGAGCTTTGCAGACAAGATGGCGAGTGGACTGGCCATCATGCTCATCCAGTACCTGAACCCGTGCCAGTCAGTGTCATTGTTACCTTTTCTTTTGGGTCTCTCATTTTTTTTGCCAGTTCCTTGCATAAACTATTCATTTTTCCCTTATCTTGCTGTACTTCACAGTTGAATGCTCCAGTACTGTACAGTGTTCCCCACTGGCGGTGGTCCATGAAAGATTTTCTCCAGCATGAAAGATTTCTTAAAAGTAGCAATGAAGTCTCATCTTTATCTGAAATTTCAAAAAGACAATGGCAGATTAAACCATATGATGGAAGAAAACAAGTTGGCTTTTCTCCAAACAATGCTTAAGATTTCCACCTGTTGAAATAAATTATTTTAATTTTTCAATCTGAGAAACCTTTCCTACAGTCAGAGTTTATAATTTTTGAAGACTTAGTATTGGTTCTTAACTTAATTTTAAAAAAAAGCAGAAGCTTTTTAAATACCTCCCATAAAGTCTTTCAACTTTTTTGAGTCTGCAAAAATTTTATGAAAATTTGCTGGTCCACAGAAAATTTTATTGGAAATTTCCCAGTTCATGGGCCCAAATTGGTTAAGTAAGGAACACTGCTCTACAGCAATTCATAAACATCTTTACAATGAAGCTGTTGCTGGGAGAAGGACTTGGTTGAAATGCAATACTGTTTTATCGATTGTTAGTGGAAGAACTGCCATATTCATATCAGAAATATTTTGAAAATTCATTGAACAGGTCTTCCTGTTAAGTTGTGAAGTCTGATGCATTTCTTCATCTTCTCTAGTTCCACAGTTGAGGGAATCTTCAAGTACACAAGACCTTGATCATAGAATGATTATAGAAAATGAATCAATTTAGGTGACAGCATTTGACACTAGTATTTCAAAAGACATTGGGAAAAGCCCCAACTTATTGACTGCCTTATGTCTTTTTTAAAGACTTGGTTCACATTGTTATAAATATGATTTCCTCTCCTTTTGAAGGAGAATAGACATTGATTACAATTCTTTTCATATTACAAAAATGCACTCTGAATAGTGCTAGCACTACCTTTATAAAAAATCTTGAATGTTTCAGAGAGATTTCTGGGGATCCTTGAAACAACAACTTATAGTTTTCATTGATCAGAATCGCTTCAAAAACTATTTAAAAGCTTTTTCACATTTCAAATATCACCAAAAATTTTGTTGCAATGGGTCGAATGAATTGGAAAGTGACTCGTACTGTATCAGTTTTCGGGGATCTTGGAGGTTCTTGTCTTTTGCTAAACCTGACATCTACAGATATTTTCATACGCTTTCGCTTCAGGATTTGAAATTCGTACCTAGATGTCACTAGTAAGCTTGTGTGGGAAATTGGATTGACGGTGTTGATGTGTTAAAACAATTATGCTAGTTGATGCCTCTGTCAAAATTTCACCAAAATTAGATACATATTTGTTAGCTAGGATAACACTTTTGCTGTCCGTTCTTCTGAGGATATTGATTGATTTAAAAAAAAAACTCTTTAAACTATACTTACTTGAAAATATGAGGAAACTCAATAATTCAAATGAACAAAAAGTCCAAAGCTTTTGTGTAAAAAAAATAAACAAATAAATTATCCAATGTGCCCATTTGAATTTTCAAGTTTGGGCTCGCCAGAAAATTCGCACCAATTTCGTGTTCATGAATAATTCACCAGTACACGTAGTATTTCAAGAAATCAAACAATTTAATAATTCACTGACAGTAAAAGCGTTTTGATCTGAAGAAAAGTTTTCTGAAATATTTTAAGTTTCAAGATAAACAGAATGCACTAATTCTGATGCAATTTTTTTCAAATGAAATCACTTCATGAAAAAGCCAGAAAAAATTATGAGGCAATTAGAAAAAATGTGGCCTTCTGTGAGCTTAAAAAATTCCTGAGCAAACAAAACAAGCATTTCCTTCATTTTAGCATCTTTTACTTCTGGATGAGGATCCTGCACAAGGAAAAAATTCAATCATTCCCTCTGAAAATGTGCCCACATGCATCATCAGCAACACATGTGGGCAGCATGATTGGATATGTCTGCATTACATTTCCAAAACAGAAATTCTTGGGGAAAAAAGGCTCCATGTGCGTGGATAACAGTATAGAATCTGCAAAGTTCAGAATTGAGTTTTATCAATTCAGCAGTAAATGGAGAAATCATGTGTACAGTATTCCATAAGGAGGAATATAACTTGAGGAGCTACAAGATATACTTTTAAATATTTTTTCCTGCTTTTCACAAGGATACACTGAATTTTGCAGTTTAAGTTTCAAGATAAAGCTTGTTTTTGAAGAACTCAGATGGTACTGAGTAATTTTAAGGTGTTGGCATTCAGATTTGGTCAACATATTTTGAATACCCATAATTTTCTAATCAAAATAATTTTCTGATTGGTATTTGCAATTTATTTTAAAACAGTTTGACTCAGTATAAAAAACTAACCATGATCTGGAAATGCTGAACTTATTGGCACTTCTCTTTTTTCTAGAAACGCTGCTGATTGCCCAGCTTCCAACCCATTCCCAGGTACAACCCTGGTGGTGGGTTGCGGTGGGTCAGCCTTGTTGGGCATGTTGGGGGTTCTGGTCATGAAGGACTACAACCATGATGTTGGGCTGTTCCAAGCCAAACCCACCCCTCAGGCAGTTGGTGAGTGACATCATTTTGTCTTCTATTGGTATAACTTGACACCTGTAAAGTCAACATTCTTGAAGGAGCATTGCTGTCCTGAACTTCATATATCATGCTTAGATAATAACTGACCATTTAATGAATGGATACCTACCCAAAATTATTGATGCAAGGAACTGTTGTGTGTCATTGATATTTTTGCACAACATTTTCAAGTGCAATTTTAACCCAATTTAATGCAAGGAATCAGGAATGTTGATTCTTGTTTTTAAATTTGACACAATTATAATGCAGGAAACAGGGTTTGAAGTCCACTAAAATTTGAGTTAAAAATTGGATTTAAAACTATGTATTTTTCAATATGAATTTATACTGTATTTTTGAAATTGAAATACAGTACTGTGCATCAGAATTTAAAGTTTGACTATTTTTTTATTTTAGTAGGTGGATGCTGAAAATTTTCATTTTTGAAATTGCCTGTTGAATTTTGTTGAAAATTTCCTGTGGGATCAATAATTATGGGCACCAAAGTTTGATTTCCAATATGTACAGTATTTCAAACAAAATTTGTAATTTTGGTAATAATTGGAAAATTTTTGCTTACCATAGAACAGAGGTTTGCTCATAACTTCCAAATTCCAATTGTTGATAGTATTCATCCAATATGTGGTTATTATTTGGCTCTTATATTTATAGATCCTGGCAAGTCCTGCAGCTACTCAAATCCAGCTTACAAAGCTGATGTAAATGAGGAGTCAGCAGTGTCAGCCAAGAATCAGAATGAGCTGAGTCAAAGGGATCACCATCAAAACAACAGCACAGAGCTGGTCACATGAGAGCCATTGTACAAACCAATTTATTTTTTCTCTTTGGGTTCCTGTGGCATATTTTTTGTCCCCCTGGGATGTATGCATTTTTTTTATTTACTCATTGCATCTCAAGGCCATGGATCATAAATAAACCTTGCAAACTTGACAGTCCATTGTTTTGGTTGTTGGGCACCCATATTGGGCATTGAGGGTAGACAAAATGGCAACTCCTGATAGAAAAAACACCAAGATGTATTTGCATGGTTCAATAATTTTACCATTGCATGTAATTGCTTACATATATTTCATTTCAACTTTATATATATCTCTGTTCTATTCCATTGGGAAATGTCATATTTTCAACATTTTTTCTGGAACACTGTGATTGGCATCAATCTGGAACAAATTGAATTGTGTGCATCAAATGCACAAGGTTATGTGTCCATTTGTAATCTTATTTCAACTCTGTTGGAAGTATTCTTTGAACAGCTTACCATGAATTTATTTGAGCCTGAGCTTCAATTTTGACTTAACTTCAAGCAAATTGCTGAGACTTTGAACTAGTTTAGTTACTCTGTTTCCAAATATCTTTTAGAATTGACTCTTTGGTCTGCAAAAGGAATTGACTCATTGGTCTCTATACCCGACTCATGATGCAGTTACACATGTTTTTGAAATTTCTGAGTGTTTCTTTCACTTTTTGGAGTGGCTGCTAGTTTTCTCTTATCAGATTTATTAGGGAGAGATTCTCTTGAAAATTGTCTTTGTTTATATTTTTGATTCATTCTTGAATATGATTGGTCTGATCAACTTCTGGTTCAAGGTTAATAAAATTGTCTTTGATTGTATTTGCTCTGGTTTGTGATTCACTTTTCCTGTTGATTTTGTCACAAAGTCTGACTATATCAAAGCTTCCACAAGCTATCAAACATTGGCATATTTCTTGTGAGTGAATCAGGAAAAAATAAACAAACTTTAAAACCAACCAACACTCCAGTAGTGGACGCATTTTACATTTTAGGTGTAATTGATTTTTCAACTTTTAGATTGTATGCAGGCCATGGATGCATGAAGATGTGAGTCATCTTTAGAAATGATTTTTTTTCTATGACAAAAGAGAAAAACTGGATAGTCACTGGATATGCATCACTTCAGTCCTGAACTCCTGCATGAATTCAAAGTGTATTTTTACATGGGATAGAAATATCAATACAAGTCCACTTACTTGTTGAATTCAAGGTTGGAGCTTTTGTCTTATGCAAAAACATAAATTAAAAAAGGGAACTTCAACAAAATTTCAAAGTGGGAAAAAAAGTTTTGAAGTACAGTATAAAAATTGTACCCCACCATGATGTGCGCCTTATTTTTCATCCCTATTTTGTTGAAAAGAAGAAGTTCATAGTCCAGGTGGTACTAGTGTACCTTGGAATTTGACATTCAAATTTGCTGGGAGGTTGACTTTGAATCTGACCTATGCCCCAAAATTTGACCTGCTTTAGACACTTTTCTATAGTGCTTTTGTGTTGCAATTCCTTAGTTTTAGATAGTGTCTCACAGTTGAACTGTTTTGCAAGTCCACCCTAGTCCAGCAATGGACTAGGGTCAAATTGCAGGTCACCACCTGAACTAAAGTGATTACAGTGGGGGTCCTGAAATGTGTGAGTATTTGGTGCTCAGATGACCTTGCCCCTGTGTTGAAATTGGTTGTATGTTGGATCACATTTTATTTTCAACTTCAATGGGAATGAATGTAATTGATTATCTTTTTGCAGATCAAAACTCAGGATAAACTCCTCCCAAAATTGAATAAAATATGTACTTTTTTCATCTTGAACTAAACAAAAAAAAGAGTGCAGAAACAACCAGGCATAATCTGATCTGCTGGCATGAAAATGAGCACAAAATTTAAAAACCAAGGGCAAGTCTTTTTACACTGGCCTCATGCAGATGATGATTGAAATTTTTTTTTATCAAATAAGTACAAAATTAGGCTATTTTTAATTGTGCATTAAAGTAAACTTTCAAGGAAATATATTTTCAACTTTTGCTAACATAAATGGCTGAATTTGTTCAAGACTAATATGACTAGTATTTTGAAGAAAAATCTAATTTTTCCATTTTTCCATATATAGGCATGGACAAATTTCTGCATCCCAATAGGAACATTTTACTATGAAACAATGTCAGGGCAGATTTTTGTTCAGTTTCAAATTCCCCCAAGTCACATCATCCATGTGTCAAGGTGTCCATATAGATATGTTGGGGTCACACACACACACACACACACACACACACACACACACACACACATGCTTCAGAGCAGCCTTCTATCCTCCCCGGACAAGTTCCCAAGCTGGACAGCTTATCCTCTGATATACATACACAGCCGCCAAGCCAAAAAAAAAAAGATCTAATTTTCGCTTCCTCTTCCTGCTGCTTGCTGCTGCAAGTGGGACCAGCCAACAAGGAACACACAAGGGCGATTGAGTCCATGCCCACATCATCAGTGTGGCTAAGGGCGTTGGACCGGATAGTCGCAAGTGCTCCTTTCTTCATATCATCTACTGTTTGCTTCTTCTTTTTTTTTTTTTTGGAGGAGAGAGGAAGAATTGAAACTCTTGTTATTGAGCGACCCGCAGCAGCCAGTTTCCTTTATATACAGTATATACTGTACTGCTGTGCAATACAATACCTTCCAATTTGTGGAAAGTGTGTGTGTGTGTGTGTGTGTGTAGTGACTCAGTGAGTGCTGATCACTGACTGTGATGATGTATGTGCTTGTGACCTTCCGTTTTATTCCACAGGTTCATGGAACTTGAGCATTTCCCCTGGGGGTGTTCCTTGGAAGCACTCGAAACAAGGGCCACGCTCTGAGGGAAAATAACCTGGAGCACTCAGCCAGGTAAATGTAACCAATTACTGTACAGTATTTCCATGGACAATAAAATTCCGTTACAACGAATTTTTCATTATGATAGTTTTTTTCTTGGTCCCAGCATCAGTAGCAGTTTTTTTTTCATGGGGGACCATGTTATGAAAATGTGTTGTTGAAATACACTAATTTTCTCTCTTGAATCTCAGTATATATAAGACATTTTCATATGGATCATGTGTGCATGGGCTTCAGAAAATTTTGCCAATTGGCACACATTGTTTTGCCAATTTTTTGAAAGTATCTTGCTTCCATATAAAATTGTTCATGAATAAATTGTCTTCTTATACACTTATTATCTATTTATTTTCCAATTAATTTTTTTATGATATTGGCATATATGCTGTTGGGAAAATGAAGGAAATAAGGGAAGTATATGAAAAAAGATTATTGCTTTTCATGATGTGTTGTATTTTCTCTAGTATCTCATCAAAAGAAGCTGGGAATTTTTTGGGTAATTATTCACATATATGTTGTGAAAGTCCTTTGAACTTGAAATCCTCTCACCAGAAAAATGCAGTCCTACTTGCTTAAAGAACCAAGAGTATCATCATAACAAATGCTTGGTTTTCCTAAATTTTTTTTATACTCTTATACTTCAGAAGTACTATGATACATCTATTATACCTTTTCACCACAGTATCAAAGAACTGTGAATCTTCTTATAACGAATTTTTAGCATGAAGAATTATATAAAGTCCTTAATAGGAGTTCTTTATAATGAGCTCTTATTGTAAAAAAAAATTGGTGTAACGTTGCTTTTTTGTAGCATAATTTTTGGAAGGAAATAACGGATTTTTTTTGCGGGCCAGGTTTTATTCGTTCTGTGCATAATTTTACTTGCATACTTTGGGGTTTATTTGACTCATTTTATCCGCTTATGTCCCATTAATTCACGTTAAATGTTTTCGTAGACGTGTTAAACAGATTATACATGGATGAACTTCAAGTACTGTACTGTATTAATTTTTTAATGAAAAAATAGAATAACATTTTTAAATGAGGATTATTTTGCGTGTTCAAGCGCAAATATGAAATATTCTTGCGCTTCAGTTGGAGATTTCATGAAAAATCAATCGCGGATTATTGATTATTAATTTCAGAGTGATTAGTGTGAGGATTCTGTGGACAAAGTGTTTCAGATTTGCATAAAAATAATATTTTAATTGAAATCGGTGAATGGACTATGGATTAAAATTCTTATTAATTTTCTTATTATAGGTGCAAACAAAATTCAAGGATGTTTTTATACAAAGGAGTGATTAGAAATAATCTTTGCCTAGATATTTTTTGCGGATGAATGTGATCATTAGGTGCAGATGTTTTATGGGGATAAAAAAATGACAAAACCTTGGTTTTCCTCTTTTCAAATATTTGAATGGAATAGTTTCAGGACAAGGACAATTGTTTAGTATTGTTCAAGTGTCCATTTGTCATGAAAATAACATTTTAAATGTTTGAATTGTGTTTTTGAAGATGCTATTTTTGGTGGATATCAGCCCTGAATAGTTTCAAATATTTTGAGATCTAAAAAATTTCATATTATTTTCTTTATTTTGCTATAATTCTTGAGACCGTGGAGTTCATCATTCCATAAACTGTGTTGCTGTACTTTTTTGTCCTTATTCTGTTGGAGATTATATCTGGAAGTTAATCTACAGAATTAAAACTACTGTATAAAAGGACTGAGTCAAATGTGTGGCTCAAATAATTCATTCACCAGACTTCAGCAAGACACACATATTGGATGGTTCTATCAAATACTGTAACTCTGAACACAACAAAAAACTGGACTAAACAGTGCAAATCTTAAGTTATTCCAATGTTGGGAATTCTTTGCTCTAGAATTCTATTCCTATGAATGGATGAACAGAATGCTTTATTTGCCACTTTTCAGCATTCGCAAGGTTCAATCAAGATTTCCACAACCAAATTCCTATATTCTATTCCTATAAACTAAATAAGCTAGCTTTGCTTCCATTCAAGGTAGACTCTACACAGCAACTGATACAGAATTCTGCCAAGCTGGGGAGAGGCCCTGCTTATGCACAACATCATATGATATACATTAAAGCAGTACTGTGCAGGTTTTGTGAGAAATTAAATCTGACTCACAAAGTTGAAAATAGAACAGGACAAGCTTGAACAAATAAATGCTTTAGAAGAGCCAAATGGACTTTAAAGAAATAAATTTTACAGACCAAGCAGCCGGGCTGTGGCCAGGACTTCCAAAAGTCCTATGGTTACAAGGGAACCATATCTGATCACAGACAAGGATCAGATAGCAATGGTGACTCAAGTCAGTCTGAAAATCACAAAAGCTCAAGATAGGATGAAACTGCCTTAAAATGGGAAATTCTCTAACACACAATAGGTTCATAAGCTTTTTTTCCAGAGATCTGCTTGGGATGAACTCAAAAGTCAAAATTGCAAGTGATAAAATGTATAAAGACTTGAAGACCAAGAAAAGTTTTTGATTACACCATGAAGGACAATATCAGGAAAAGGTGTTTTTCCTTCAGGAGTGTCCTTGCTGAGCCTGGGGGCCAATTTTGGATTTGGTTCATAGGCTCAGGTAAAGCATTCCTTAATTTTTGTTTTTAATGACTGAGGATTTAGACAGATTAGAAAAAGTGCCATTCTGCCATTTTTCCAACAGCTAGGTTTGTTCCTGTTTGGTCACACTGGACAGAAGCACATAAATTCACACATCCAGAGAAATAGAGAAGCTATAATTGTCCTGCTCAGGAATAACCAGTTGTGACCAGGAAGAGGAGAATATTAATTTACTCTGCAGGTCTGGACAGGCTTTTAGACCAAGCAAGAATCCTCCAGAGGGGAGGTGAAAACTGGGTTGGTTACTCTATTATAGAGCATAATGAGGGAAGAAGCAAAAATGAAGCAGATTGCTCTGGA